AAACACATCCATTAAGAACACGGATTTTTCAGAGGGCAGGGGATGTTCTTGCAATTTCTCAATATTTAAGAAATTGGACTCTAGACTTTGTGGAAACAAAGTTTTACACCTAAACTCTATGTCTTGCTACGTCATTATTTCACTTTACATATTTGAAGTATGAACAATCCTTGTCGGGAATATAATATTAATTTTGCTGACTAAAAGCCACTGAGGACCATCAGCCAAAATCAGAATCATGTGCACTGATGGTCCTTAGTAGTCAGGGAGGCTGACTTCCCCAGGCTGAAATCCCCAGGCATTTCTCCTGCCTGGTAGATTTCTCAATTTGTAACATCCAGGAAGGACTTTTGAAGTTATGAACAACCTTAGAATTACCCACAGCAACTCTTTTCCTCATGCAAGAATTAAAACTATGATAGAAAAACAAAGCCACTAGTCATATTTTATCATAGATCCTGTCATATCTTCAGGAACTGAAGGATTATGTAAATGTGTCACACCCAGAGGCAAACAAGAAAGTCTGGTAGAATGAAGGGCATTGATTGCACACTTGAAAATTGTTTGGATTGGGGGAGTAACATAGAGTAAATTTTAGCTGAGCATTTGTTCAATTCCCAGTGATTTCATATATGAGAATGAATTTCAGAGGGATAACAGAGTGAATATAGTATTTAGGAATTTAGAGGAGGAAAATAGAAGCTATATCCTTAGAAGATGTTCATTAGATTAATTTCCCCCAGATATGTTAGTCTTTGAGTTTGCTACTCGCAGGATCAATTGTAACAGCAGGATTGGTGAATAGTAGCTGTCACTGAGGTTCTTGTATAGGTTATACTTTGGTAATATACTGTGATCTATTTTATTTGTAGAACAGCCAATTATGGCATGAGCATGAAAAATATGATTTCAAGAATATTACAATAAGGTCTTATTCTATGATCTATAAACAAAATAAACTTATAAATCTTGCTTCTGGGAAAAACAGACATCTTGAATTATGGTAAAGAAGTAATCAGTAGTGTTTATTTCTTCACATAACTTACGTTTTGTCCATCCCAAAGGCATTTAATACGCTTTCATTTGTTATTATCACGCACTTACTCAATGAGTATTTTGGGGCTGATACAATAAATCAGGGATTGTTTAAAACACTGAAATTTGTAATTCAAACATTTATAGTAACTGTTTTTTTTTTTAGGATTAGTGTATAACTTATGGGTTCAAAGGGAAAAAATGCTATTTGAGAGAGCAATAAAATACCATAGAAGTTTAACAATTTTTAAAAAAAAATTGAGTTATTTTATGATTTTTTACATTGTTGAAAAAATTGTCAGCAAACTCATCTCTTTGAATCTACTCTAGGTTTTTTCAAATCTTTGTATCTCTGTTTCTCTCACACATATATTCTCTCTCTATTACATAGGTATATTAATATGTAATAATAGAACATTTATTAATCTAATTGATATTTGATATATATGGAAAGAGATGAAAAGATATAGAATAGCTTAGGTTAGATATAGATATGTTAATAATACATTAGCATATATTAATAAATACAAATACATGTTAATATAAGCATATATAACATAATTAATCCAATTGGGGGATGCGTGTATGTATACTAATTGGATTAGTCTCTTTCCTTTTGTTTTCTTGCTCTTCCTCAGAATGAGCTATTCCCATGAAATTGCTATTCTAATACCAGAGAGACAGTGGGAATTGTTTAGATCACTTATCTTTTAAAGCACCTACTATGTGCTAGGCACTGTCCTAGGAACTGAGATGAACATCATAAACATAGCCCTGCCCTCATGGAGCTTACAGTGAAGGTGGAACAGACACTAAATAAATGACCACATGTACATAGTCTCTATAGGCTCTACAGTCGTGTTGCTGACAAAATGCTATGAAGGGAAAGAACAAAATCCTATGACAGGATATAAAAGGGACTTTAATCTAGTGGGGGGAAGGGTCAGAGAGGCCATGAGTGACATGTAAACTGGCCTTGAAGGAAGGACGGGAGTTAGTCAGGTGAAAGTGAGGGGTCAGTGTTATAGGCTGAAGGGACTGCACATACCAAAGCTCTTGTTGGATTGCTTGTAGGCAAGAAAGAGAAAAGAGGGTAAAGGAATTAAAATTTATTCAGCACCTACCATGAGCCAGGTGACTGATTTTAGGACACTATCTGACAACCTGAGTTTCAGGAAAATTTATTAATTCATTAAAGTTAATCTGTATCAGGTATTGGGGATGCGGAGGTGAACGAAATATGGCAGATGCTCTGGGAGAACTCTAATAGAGTAGGGTAAAAACCCTTATAAGCAAGTAAAAGTAATGCAATGTTGGCTATTCACATAAATTCAAATGTTTAGAAGATACTATGGGAACAACAAAATGGAAACCACGAGTTCTGCTGGGAGTGCCAAGGAAAACTTCATGAGGGAGGTGTTGATTGAACTGAGCTCTGAAGGATGAATAAGCTTCCCCCTATAGACAGAAAATGGGAAGGACCTCCCCGGTAGAGGCCCTACCAAATGCAAAGGCCTGGACCTGGAAAGAACATGCCCTGTAAGGGAACTAAATTTTTGACTGCAAAGATGCTAGGGTAAAATGAAGTTGAAGTAATCAGGAGTCATGAAACAGAACCTAATTTGTCATACTTTGAAACTTGTGTTTCATGTCTAGGAAACAGGCAGCAGTAAAGGATTTAAGGTAAGGAAGGCTTATCTATTTGTGTTTTCTAAAGAACCCAGAGATTGTTGGTGCTGTGAATGAGGAACTGGAAGGAGAGTGAGCTTGGAAATAGGTTGAACTAATGCAAGGACATTGGGAAATGAGGGTCCTCTCTGCTAGCCGAAAAGGAGAGTGGTCATTTTTACAATAATGTAGAATTAAAGAGGAATGACATTTTTGTAACAGTACAATAAAGAAGAAAGAACTTGGGCTTCCCTGGTGGCGCAGTGGTTGAGAGTCCGCCTGCCGATGCAGCGGTCCCGGGTTCGTGCCCCGGTCCGGGAAGATTCCCACATGCTGCGGAGCAGCTGGGCCCGCATGCTGCGGAGCAGCTGGGCCCGTGAGCCGTGGCCGCTGAGCCTGCGCGTCCGGAGCCAGTGCTCCGCAATGGAGAGGCCACAACAGTGAGAGGCCCGCTTACAAGAAAGAACTTGAGTAAATTTTTTAAATCTTTTATTGTTTTTCCCAGAGAACAAAGGAAGTACCATAAACCATTGAGACTGCATTTAACAAGTGCAATTTTAACATAGTAAATGTGATGCATATGTAATTCTTTGTAACAAAATGGTCAAAACCTTTAAAAGATACAGTATAAGCATCTGCAAATCTTAGCAGGGCAGTGCTTTTTTTTTTTTTAACTGCATGATGAGTTTATATTCAAAGAGCTCAAATATGTTTTCAGAACTTTCAAAGTATAAATCATTGTTAAGTTTGCCTTTACTCTTTCTTTTTTTTTTTTTTTTTTTTTTTTATGACAGAAGGTAAGGGAAGAAAGGAAATACCACCCAAAAGCCCGTGGAGGGAGGCGGTGGCGAGTATACGTGGACAGTGGGGTGCTGCCCCCCATCTCCTTCCCTCTCAGAAACTTCCACCACCCATCACCTCCCTGCCACACGACCCCCCCTGGACACTTCTCATTCAAGGAAATCTCCCACGACCTACTCACTCAGGCCCGGGGGAATAAAGAGAGGGTCCCTACCCACCCACCCCAGCCCCCGGGACCGGGGGGCACGTGCACCTCTACCTGCAGCCAAGAGGAAGTGGCTGCTGAGCTGGGCCTGGAGGAAGGAACCAGCACCTTCTGGCTGCATCTCCTCATCTCCACCCTGCATCCTCTGAGAGGGGCTGCGAGAGGAGAAGCAGCCAGTGGAGTGTTGCTGTGACACCCGGCGGAGTTGGGGGCTGTCACTCACGCACTCACTCATCCATTCACCCCGTCAGTAAAGTCCTGCTGTGGGCCAGCCTCGGTGTAAGGAGCTGCTGGCAACAGGCTGACGTTGCTCTGCTGAGCTTGTGACTAAGACGGTTCCCTGGCTTGATGTGATGTTAGAGACGGCAGGAAGAGCCTCTTTCTTTTTTTAAACATGTTTATTGGAGTATAATTGCTTTATAATGTGCCTTTACTTTTAAGAAACTAAAAGGATGTATTTTTATAAAAACTAGAAATAAGGAATTTACCTAGTTCTAGCTTCTTCATCAATTCAAAACATATACTTAGAAATATAATACTATAGATACAATACTCCTAGTAAACTAGATAATAAATACCATAAAAATCAAAAGTTTAATGAGTAAGTCGTGACATTATGCCATACTAGGAAGACATCAAATATCAAAACGTATAGGAAAAGAATATATTAGTCCTTATAGAACTCATACATTTAGAAATTCTAAATAAGGAAATATATTCTACACAGGTAACTGTGTAATACATCCAGATTTCTAATGCAATATAACTTAAATAGCTAACCAGGGTCAAGAGTAAGAAAATTCTCTAACATATTCCTCAAGAAACAATACTAAAGCAGTTCCTATTTCATGAAAGAGTGAGAATAACAGTTTATCTCCGTATACAGCATTCTAATGAAATATCATTCACACATTAAAGACACAGCTTTTTCCATAGCACTATAAGAACTATATTCTAGAAGTACAATAGTCACCTTGAAAGATTAACAACCAGTGATTCTTGATTCACAATTTAGTTAATTGCCAAAGATTTCAGTAGCATAGCAGATAAAATAACAGCAAATAAGGAGCAGGAAATACTACGCTAAACACGCCATAAACTGAACAGAAAGCTGCAGGGACAAACATAGTTTCCCTCCTCTCATCTCTCTCTTATAGTGGGGAATTCATACAGAAACCTAACTCACTGGAGAAAATCAGCCCTTGCTTCTTGTCTTCACTGGGTCCAGAGATCCCCAGAAAACTCTTCTGCTGAAGAACTGGGCAATTTTTCCAATGCACGTTCCTTTCTCTTAATTTTTCTTGTTTCCACTGTTGGGAAAAGAATTACATCAGTATAACCAAATTTCCACACACCTGTCTACCCCAACTTGTTTTCAAAACAGAGTTGAGGATCAACAAAAAGCAAAGGGTGGGCTCAAAGTCTCTAGTAACAACAACAACAACAACAAATACATCTCAGCAGTGAGTTCTGTGTAACCTCCTAGGCAATTACACATGACATTTGTGATAAGGGTTTTCCCAGGACATTCTAGAACAACTTTCGCCCCTTCTCCCGAACATCCTATTTTTTTTCTAAGCGTAGTCTGGAATGTGGTTGCCAAATCCCACGTGGAGAATGAGGACTTTGAGAAGTCCGCACTCCAAGAGACATTCAGAAATCAAAAAGATCAAGGTGACAGGTACCTGTCCAACATTTTCTGGATGACCTTCTTGATCAGAGGAGCTTCTGGGTCCAGACAGACTTCCTTTCTGTTCTTCAAGGTGGCTCTGCAGAGAGAAAAGGAGGATGCGCCCATGAGCTGTGGGGGCTGAAGTCAGGGCTGGAGAGACATCCCTCTTGCCAAGGTCACAGTGGACAGCGCCGCGCAAGGAGGACTTACACCACTTCCACCTTGGAGCACTGCGGTCCTGGGGCGATCACCTTCAGATTACTGACCATTTTGGGATGAATCCCCGGTGTGGTGGTTAAGCACATGCAACGCAGCTCTCTCACTATGACCGCGACAGGACCCGCTGGGGTAGAGAGACACGGTTATGGGCAGGTTGCTGGGAGATCTCTTCCCCAGCCAGTCCGCCCTGGACATTTCCCCACGCCCAGGGCGCCGCGGCCGCCTGGCAGGCGGGGCCGCTCCGCCTGCCCGGTGCGTCCGGCTGGCTGTGAGCTCTCACCGCTGGCGATGGGCCCTGGCGGCGTCAGCAGCAGCAGCGCGAGCAGCAAGCACAGTGAGCCCGAAGGGCCGGGGATGCGGGCGGCGTGGCTGGATAGGAGTCTCATAGTGGCGAAGAGACTCAGCGAGAGGGGTTCAGGAGGGAGAAGGGGTGGGATTTGAAGCTCTAGAGCCCCGTGACTTCTTTAGGTCCTCCGCATCCCTTTTATCTGCACTCTCTCCTTCCTCCCGGCAGGAAATTCAATTTTTGGGATGCTTGGGAAATTCCCTGGACTGAGGCGGGGCGGGGTAAAGGGGGTTGAGTGGAGTGGGGTTAGTCAGTGGGGTTTGGGGAGGGCGGCTGGGAGCCGCTGACTGCACCCGTTCCGCAAGGGACGAGTCAGCTCGCCCCGCGGTGGATGGAGTTCTGCGCTGCTCCCGCTGGAAGTGAGAAGCAGTCCTGCGGAGACTTCATCCTCGGGGGCCAGCCTGGGCTAGCGAAAGCCAGCTTCTCCTGGGGCACAGAGTCTTCTCAGAGATGCCCGTCGTCTCCATCTAAACAGGAAGACTGGGAACAAAGCAGCCGGGAGGTTTGACTTTAGAAAGATTCCTGAAATTCCTTTCTAATTATTATTACTATTATTATTCAGGAAATGTAAGCCATGATTAAAACCGCCAAACTGCAAGACCTTGCACTCCTGCTTGCAGGCAGACCATTCTAGGTTCTTCAAATTAGTTCATAATTCTCTGGTCTTCAGCCAGCATTAGAAGCCAAGATTATAGGATGAAAGTACCTCTACTCCCACTTGAAGTCAGTGGGAGGAACAGATTCCAAAATCAAGTCTACTTACTAGAAATCCTATACTTAGTTTTGCAAACATGAGTGTCAAGGTGGTTTAACAAAAATCTTCAAAAATCACCCAGCAAATTGCCCTGGGAAATGATGCCTTGCTTTGCGCAGATCAATACACTATGGAAGTGGAAGATGTATGGTCTTGTTTGGGGGTGGAATGGGGAGGGTTGAGTGCAGACTAAAGCAATGCCACAGAGCCCAGCCTCTTAGCTATGGCTCCAGACCTTCCTAACTCCATGTGTAATTGACCCAAGTTGGAGAAGCTGTGGAGTCTGATGAGTTTAAGCGGCTCACCTGGAAGTTTGGTTCTAGGGATTTGAATCAATTTGGCAGCAAGACAGCACCCACTCTGGCTTCATTCAAACAACTTCATGGGAAGGAAGGGTGACTCACACACACACAGGCTTCTGGAACCGTCCAGCTTCTTGATCAGTGGTGTGGCCAAGCCTGTTTCCACAGTAACGTTCTAGTCAGAGTGAGCCCACAGCTGCGCCCTGAACCTGAGGTGTGAGGTAGCTTCCAGCTTCCTCTCTTTCTCTTCTCTGTGGAAACAGTTAGCACTCTGCAGTTTTAACGGCTGGGTCTTTCACATGTCTAGCTCCATGGCAGGCATGGCAACGATGTTGGAATGGCATGTAGGCTTTTTTTCATGGAAATATAACTAGATCCTATTCTGGATTGCTCTCAAGACTGTTGTCCTCACAGTTGGCCAGCCAAGGCAATCGGTAAACATGATGGCAATTGGAAACCAGTCATGGAACAAAATTCTTTTCCTTCTCTCTAGTGACCCTGGAACCTTTTCTTAACTCCTTCACACATCTTCCTTGGCAGGACATCACCTCCACTGGTGAGCAAGAAGGAGGTGTCATAGACCTTTAGAACTTTTAGTCCAGAAGAAAACTTTAGAAGTCCCCTAGTTGAAGAGGGCTGAAAGGTTTGGCCTCACTTTGTGGGAAGTTAAGTGGGAAGTTCTCTGTCCTGCACAGCTTTCTGATCCCAGCAGCATAATATCTGACTCAACTAATACAATTGTTCACCCTTCTGAGAAGTGGTGATCTGGGAAAATAGCCTTCAGATTATTATTATATATTGCCTTTTTAGACATTAGACTGTATCTAAAGACAAAAGCCTCACTGATATGGATAAGATAAAATTTCAAAAATGTAACTAAAAATCTTGGGCAATTAAATTCAATTTAACCACAGGGAATAAGCCATAGTATAAGATTTTGTTGGGGAAAAAGTGTGTAATGACTCAAGTAGGTTATTGACTTTTTATAAGTGTATATGTGTATTATGTGTGTGATTGTGTGTATGTGTGTTTAGGTTCCAAATAAGCTGTTTTAAATATAAAGGAACTTACGAATTAGTTTTGGCACCCAATGGCAAGATCATAGAAGGGTCATGAGATGTGGTTTCCAGTTTTTCTGGACACTCTTCTTACAGATGTGCATGCTTCACCTGGTTTGTACCCTGAATCAACTTACCATAGGTTGTTTACAGAATATAAGGCAAAAATAAATATTTCTACATCTGGCAAGCAAGTAATAGGAAGTCCCCCCTAGAAATTAGCTGTTGGGCTGCCCAACCTAATCAGGAGGCAGCAGGTAACTTAATCTGAGTTCTGATTGAAATCATTCGGGTGCATTGCCCATGTCTGGTTCCTGTCTAGGCATCCCTGATGTAGACCTTGTGCAAAGACAGATAGGAATGTGGATGGTCCAAAGACTCCCTGCAGTTGACAATGACACCAACTAGGAGGCAGAGCTCTTCAAAAGTAATTGCTTCTTTATTGCAAGTCTAAAGGGAAGCCATTTGCCCTGCCTGCACTGTGTACAGGTAGTATAGAAAGGCACTGTGTTATTTTTGTCCCAAAGTATAACAAAACAATCCACAAAATGACATCCTGATAGCCTGAAAAGTTGACTGTCAAAAGCAACTCAATTTTAGTCATAATACCACAGAGTAATGTAAGAAGAATTAAAACATTCTTGATGGTTTGCAGCTCTGAAAACACTTTCATGTTCATGATGTTTTGAGCCTCATATTGATTCTTTGAGGCAGGTAAGAAACATTTTCCTCTCCTCACTTTTCAGCTTGGGAAAGAAAGGCCAGAGAAAGAGTTAAGAAGCAGAAAATCCAGGATTGGAAGTCAAGCACTGGAGAATCCACCCCAAGAAATTTTTAATGGTTTCCAGATTACAAACCGCTTTCTTCACAGTACTGGCAAATAACCCGTGGCTCTCCACATCTGGTTAACTTTACTTTACCACTTTACTTCATTGCCCAATAATCATATGTTAAGGTGTTGAAATCCACAGTCTATCTACTCCTGGACTTTGAGGTCACAATGATGTCAAACATCCAAGAGGCTTTCAGGTTAACCAGCCTAATACTGTCACCTGCTTTCTAAGTCCTTCTCTTTCTTCAAAACCAAAGTCTTGTCTTCTCTGAGAAGGTTTATTCTGACAAAGCCAACTGAAATGAATTCCTTCCACTTTTGGTCCTTGAACAATCAATGTACTTGTAACAACTCTCTCCTGAGACAGAGTTGATTATTAATTACTCAATAACTTTTGTTTTGTCTCTCCCAAGTTAACCATAAACTTTAAAATCAGCACTGGGGATTTCCCTGGTTGTGCTGTGGTTAAGAATCCGTCTGCCAATGCAGGGGCACGGGTTCGAGCCCTGGTCAGGGAAGATCCCACATGCTGCAGAGAAACTAAGCCCATGCACCACAACTACTGAGCCTGCGCTCTGCAGCCCGTGAGCCACAAATACTGAAGCCCACTCCCATAGAGCCAATGCTCCACAACAAGAGAAGCCACTGCAACGAGAAGCCCGCACACCGGTATGAAGAGTAGCCCCTACTCGCCACAATTAGAGGAAGCCCGTGCACAGCAACGAAGACCCAACTCAGCCAAAAATAAATAAATTAAATAAATAAAAAAATAAACAAAATCAGCACTGATGTCTTATATTTCTCACATGACCTCCCATAAGTTCCAAGTTCAGTAGCAAGCAGTTCATGAACATTTGACAAGTAATGTTAACTTTTAAATTTTGTAGTGTTCTTTAAATTGCAAGTGGATCTTACAGTTAAGGAGGAAAGAATAGGGTGGTTTACTGTCATTAATCATTTGAACTTATCTATTTTGAATTGGCTTTCCCAATGTTGGAAATTTTTTCTTAACTATTCTTAGGGACTGTTCAGATGATATTTTCAGTCTTTGGAATCTGAACCATTCAAAAGAATGTTCAGAAACCAGCAAGATATTTGGTATTAAAAGAAAAGATATATATGACTAAGGTGTCAACCAAAATACATGTTTTATGTGACTTAGAGATTGTTGGAGATAAGTGATAAGGGAAAATTCTGATTAGGTTATACTGTGTTGAATGGTAACAGTGTGGGAATGTTGTTCTAAATTGATCTCTTCCAACAAATCAGAGAGGCCTTTAGTGATGTGATTTAGTATATGACTTAGGCCTTTTCAAATATTTTTCTAAGTTTCTATTTTCTCTTATATCCACTAGTCTTCATACTACCTTTAAGAAATGCTGTATATTGCAGTAAGAAAAGATGTGGACATATCATTATCAGGTTAAGCACATCAAAGATATCCGTATAAGAGTTTATCAATCAATAAGAGTTTAAGCGGAAAATAGAGTTACTTGCTTGCATGCAAAAGAAAAGGAAAAGGCCAGTTACTTTTGGCTTAACTTTGCAATATCAATGCAGTCTGTCTCCTTCCATATTGGGTTTGGCAGCCTAATGAAGAAGGGACATCATTTAGGGAAGAACTTTGCTTCAAAGTTGCCCCAGATTTACTGTGATATGTCAGGAATGTTTTCTCCCTTTTATCCATTATCTAATTTTCCTGCTGCCCATTTCAGATTAAATCTGCTTGAGAAGAAGTAAATGAATGAACTTTGAGTCTAAACTGAGCTAGGCTCCTACTAACCATAGGTAGGTTTTTCCTTGCCACCTCCTGGGTGTAAGGGGTAGCTAGTTATTTTTGTTCAGCTGTGCAAGCCTGGCCTGCAAAAAGTTTTCGTTGACAAGAGATGATAGATGGAAAAAAAAAAAGGGGGATGAGCATTAATGTTTTAAATGTTGCCAAAAGCCTTGGGCTTCTCAGAAATGGGAAGTATTCATTACTTTCTTCAGAAATTTAGTCTGGGCTCAGCAAGAAAAGAAAATCTTTCAAGGGATTAGCTATCTTAAATACCATTTTCTGAGAAGTCATGTGTCTGATATTCAGAGGTCCTTTCT